ATATATATATATATATATATATATACGTGTTCAAACGTTTGGCGCTCGGGATTGTTTATGTTTTCGTAAGACTCGTTAACCGAAACTCGGTTTAATATTGAATAATTGAATCGTAATTTCAGTCAGTGAACAGTAAAAAGAAAAGCCTTCCTATTGTATTGATATAAATTGCCTTATCGGGGAGGGAAGATACCCCCAGGAAATGATACTTTAAGATACAATGTTATTGGAATAAAGTTATTTTGTTATCTGTGTTTAATATATAATTTACGAGTTAGAAACGTAATTATTCGACATAATTGACGTTTCTGTAATAGTTGACGTGCTTCATCACAGACGTAAATATCTCATCTAAACGATTAATCTTGGATACACAAAGCAGAAAATAAAGAAATAAAACTTCTGAAAATAAACCTGATTTATTTTTAATTTATTTCATAGGATGCAGTATATAAAGAACGTTATTCTAATTCGTTTGTCGTATTTGTTGGAACAGTGCCAAATTCTTCGGATTATTGAGCATTAGTTTCCATTGTTAATACGTCGTTGTGTTATATGATTAATATATTCATCAGCCATTAAACAACATTTTTATTTATATCTTTACCAGTGTAATTTGTTGTCGAATTTTGTTTGAAAAATATAATTTTTTCTAAGCAGTAATTTCCTTGCTTGATATACTTTTATGTTATTTTTCTGTCACCGGGAATTTTTAATTTAGGTTTTAATAATATTTTAACTGTTTTCAATTATTACTTCAAAAAAAACAGAGACGCCTATTCTTTGAAAGATTAATTGTAATTTAGGGGATATAAACGTTCTAACATTTTAATAAAGCAGGACTATTATTTAAAAATGTTTATTATGTATTTGCAGTTTGTGTATGTGCACAGTTTTATAAATTATTTACGTTTCATCTGTAAATAAAAAAAGACGAAAAAGAATTTCTCACTTATTCGGGAGAAAACAAGCATTATTTATTGTCAATTAATCTTGTCAGTTGGCTTAAGAATATCGAAACTTTAAGTATTCCTTTGTGTATAATATAAATACTTTTTTTTTTCTAAGCATATAAACGATTGACTTTTTGTTGTTGTTGTTCACGGAAGTCTTATAGTAACAAGTTATTTTTTTGTATTTTGTGTATGAAGTGTGTCATTTGTTAATATTTTGTGAGCTAAAGTTCCACCCCCAGTAGCTCAGCGGTAAGTCTGCAGACTTACAACGCTAAAAATTTGGTTTCGATACCCGTAGTGGGCAGAGCACAAATAGCCCATTATGTAGCTCTGTGTTTAATTTTGAGTTAAAGAAACTTCTGCCCTTCATCTTGCGCACGAGCTCGCCAAACTTCAGTTGTTTAGTGCCGATTTTTACCACAATTCTTTGTTTTCCTGTTAGTTCTCGCCGACAAAATTAACATGTTGAGTTACAAAATCAAAACATTACATTTCTACAGTTGTCCGAGACTGACATGACGTAACGGTATTTGTGAAAAGCGTATCTGTAATTGACTGTCTCACTCAATTGTATTTTCACGTGAACGGCGGTGAAAGAAGTTTCGGTTTGTTGAAGTGAGTAAAAACCAGGACAGAAAGATCCTGTGGGATTTGAAAACGTTGAATGATTTTACTTTTTAATCGATGTCAGTTTTTGTTTTAACCTTACTGAGAAATGATTGTGGAAGTGCAATAAATGATGTTTAAAATAAAAGTATTTTGTAAAGCTGGAACTTTCGTTAATTTTTTTATTCCAGTAGACTTGTACTTGTTCTTCACTTGTGCCCAAAAGTTTGGAGGTTACGAAGAGGTGAGTATCGAAGGACATATCCGTTCGGTGAAATAAAGTTTGTAAGTAATTTAATGAAAGTTTAAATATGTTTTTGATGTTGGTGATATACAAGCGTTATACAGTGACGTATATTTTACACTTTGTGACGTAGTTAAAAGTGTTTGAGTTGCTTACAAACCACTCCTCGCCCAGTTTGAGTCTACACACAGCCATTTGTATTTTAGTTAAGTTTTGTGGGTCTCTCCCCCCCCCCCCCCCCCCGCCTGTTTGCATGAATAAAATGCCCTACAGTTCACTACGTTCTAAAGTGAAATAAATTATTACTTTTAAAATATTTTACATAGATGTTTGCATAAACAAATGCTCCCAGTGGCTCATCGGTAAGCTTGAAGGCTTTTAACTCCAACTCCGAGATTCGATCCCTGCAGTAGACATTGCACAGGCACTAACCAAACAAATAAATAGGCACACACACACACTCTCGCTATTGTAAAAACAAATACACCAGACAGGCAGACACACTGATAAAAAAGATAAGACGAACACAGGCAGGTGAACAGATAGGCAAAAAAAAGAACGGACAGATATACAGCCGAGTGTATAGAATGGCGAATTAAGTAGCTTTCTAAGAAGACTTTGTAAAATTGTTAATTTCTGTTGATAATCGACCAAACAAAACGTTTCAGACACTTTTTAAAGAAAACATTCTATTTACACGAGCCGGGCATGTAACATTTTATGTTGCTGAATCGTAATACTACTAACTGTAAGTTTTGTATCATCTAGAGACCCTCATTAACTATAAACTGTCACGTTTCCTCGGGAGCATGGACTTAAATTGAATTATAAGTAATACTGAAGTACATACAATCTTCCTAAATGATGATGCTTGGATAAGTACGAATTCCATGTGCTTGAATACCCCACGGAGAAGAAAAATCAATAGCTTTAAACGCATTCCGAGGTGTACTCGGAAAAGGGATTTAGACAAACCGGCTTGGAACACTATTGTTTAGTTTTATCTTTGTAATCTCCTGGGAGATCTATGCATCTTTTCAGCTCTATTAGTTATGGTAAAACCTGTTTTCAAACGAAATTAGGAAAGAGTGCAACGAGAACTCCTCAATAGTGATGCGCGCCTGGTGGATATAGAGGGAACTATCTTTACAGAAGATAACGTCACGTTGTAAAAGTGAAACAGCATACTAATGAGACGTGACCTAATATATTATCTTTAAATAGATACCACGTAATTCTTAGTAACAAAATGCACAAATAATGCTATGATTTTCACAATTCTAGCTTGAACGTCCATTAAATTAGCCCAGTAACCTTTTGGAAATATGTAATAACAGTAAACGTGAAGGAATCCTCAATAGTCACGGCATTTGAAATTCATTCAGGCAGGATTACAGTAAATTAATCTATGAGACCTTTTTTTATTACTATTTTTGTGCGCCAGCAATAACAAGCGTTCTAATCATCATAGGTTTCAGTTTTCTTTCATAATGATTTATGACACAGTGCAATATTACTGAGTTATTGTATAAATTGGCTTCAGTAATTCGTAAGTTGCGTTATATTTTTTAATCAGAAACTATGAATGATTACAAACCGGCCAATGAAAGGAAGCATGCACACTAAAAACTAAAATAGCTGAGCGCCTTTAATCCCGATTCCACCTACACGAGCCCCCTCACTGGCAATTCTGATAGCTAAAAAACGCTAAAAATCAGGTTACCATACCTGTGGTGGGCACAACGTAGACTGTTGTTAAACACAAAGCTACACAATAGACTAAGTCCATATATATGGACTTTTTCGAATTATGTAATGTATTTTTTTTTTTAATTGCTGTAATAATCTTTATTATTCGTAGGCGCCAACAACAAAAATGAAGACTTTAAGAATTATCATTAAGTTTTTAATAAATGATATATCAGGATAAACTTGCGTTAGTTTGTACCTTAAAGTTAGCTTAACCTAAAATAGAAAACGTTTTTAGCTTTGAAATCGACGCAGTTTCTAGATACGTGCGTTTTAATAAAGTTACGCAAGACGTGGTTTCGTACTTTTTGAAATTCGTATGATAAATCAAAATCCTATCCGAGCACAAAAAATAAAAATATTTATAACATTCTATACTTTAGGAATATTTATAACTTTTTTTCTTCTTTCTTTTTGGAAAGGAAACTGCATTATATTAAAGTTAATACTCTCAACGTTTCTTGAGCGTTATTTTAAGTGCGGGAATAAAAATCAATAAAAGTACAGTTGTACACTAGCTCCACACATTATTTGTTATTGAAAGCTTATTCATGCGTTCATCATCAAGCGAAAGACATTTTTAGTAGAGGAATTTTTTTTTTTTTGAAAGCCTCCTTTCTCGGTGAAGAGCTGATGAATGATTTTAAAAGCTTTTGATATAAATGTGGAGTAAGTCTGGAAGAAAATTATTTATTAATATTTTTGCTTGTTGTTTCTACTACCTCAGTTTCATTTATAACATGCACATACTCAGATTTCATTATAAGCAGCTTAAAATTCAATCGAGAACAACGAAGCCAGACTAGTCAAACCAGCGTTGACATATTACTTGTTTGTCTAAAGTGTTTCATTTTTTTTTTCATTCTTTACGTGGTAGCTAGATTATGTTTAAGCTGATTGTCCTTCTTTATCTGTTGTACCTGTAGAGAAAATTTATGGATGACTGGCGACATATTAATAAGACTCTGAACGCTGTTGTCATTCTTCAAAGTTTAAACAAAGTTAAAATAAGATTAAGAAGAAAAAAAAGCGTCTATACAAGTCAGTGATTGTATTCAAAATTACAAAGTCACGATTTGTATTATTTATCGTTTACTGAAATTACTACATCATTAAATAATAAAATAAAACTCGTGTTGATAATTGCAGTGAGAAAATGGTACATTTAACAGAATCTTGTGGTATTTAATAAATGAATTTAAATGTTCTGCTACTATCGAACTTCATTTCTAATCATCACTGAGTTTCACTGAATATCTCTTCTATCAAACAAAACAAGTACAGTATTTTTCGGAATATAAGACGCACCCTTATTTTAAAGACAAAGTTTTTTTTGGGAAAAAAATATACAGTCGCATTTGAAAGATTTTTATTGAACAAAAAATTCAATTTGATACTTTAAAAATTAGAATATATTGTTCTAAACACAAAAAGAGCTCAAAATAAGAAAATACCCTAAATCAAAAAAAGGTTTACTGTTATTTAGTTTGGTTCAAAACCTACAAAATCTTCATTGCTTT